GGGGGGGGGGGGGAGATGTAGATAGTTTTTATACAGATGTATTTATTCATGTTTTTATGTGTGATACGTGTCATGTTTTAGAGAGAGGGGAAGAAAGGAAAGGGTGAGAGATAAAGAGAGCTTTTATATAAATTGTGCATGTATTAACATGTGATATGTGATTAGCTCACTCTGGGAATCCATCATCAATATATTCTTACGTACTGTCCATCACCCTTGATGGTTAGGTGCTTTGCTGTCACTTGCAGGAGACCCGAATTCGATTCCCGAGTGGGGAGAAAGTTTTTATCGAGTGTCACAGTCTTTCTGCTGGGATGTTGTATCCCTATCTTTCTGCTGGGATGTTGTATCCATCTTTTTGTTCAGATGTTGTGTCCCTGTGTTTCTGCTGGGATGTTGTCACACACACACACCCAACACGCCTTGATGGCGTTGGCCATAACTTTGATGTCCTCCTCTGAGGCTCCCATGAAGCTGATGGCGCTGTCTTCACTTGCCACCTGGCTGCCGGTAACACTCCCACTGCCCTCGTAAAGTAAACTTGCAGCTTTGTAATCTCTTCCTGGGGAATAGATAATTTAGGGGAAAAAAAAAGCTTTGTTTGATTAGTTGGGTAGAGTGTTTACAGCACTTCAAGCTAAACTTTAGGTCGTGTGTGTTGAAGATCAGAGCTATAGGAAAATAGCATTAACTGAATAAAAAGGAGAGTGGGATAGGAAGACAGTAACATAGCCACAGAAAAAGCAAACCACACCAGTGTCCAACGTCCCGCTTAAAAAAAAAACAGGCAATGAGTTAATAGTGAAAACAAAATAATCCACAAAAGACCAGGCACAATAAAAAAAAACCCACCACAATCTTGAATGCAGAAAAAATCTACACTGGACACTTATCATCTCTTGGATAGGAATTTGGCTAATCCTCCTTATTGTGGGTCCGGGTGCCGAATCCTTCCTTCCTTCTCAGATGTTAGCGAGGGCGGCTTGTCGTCATTTTGCCATGTTCCCGTGCGCACTTCCCATGGACTGGCTTTTTACACTGCCTACAGCCAAAACTGGTGGCTCCGGCCCTCTGCCCTGGATTTTTCTCCCGACACACATGGCCTACCTTCCTCTTGCTGCCGTACAGGTTCACCACATCATGCCTGTTGCTGGAAGAGCCTGGCGTGTCTGTCATGCCGGGTTCCCTGTCGCTGGTGACGTTTCCGATCAGGCCTTCGGTAAGGTCCTTGATGAAGTCCTGAAACCCAGAGTACTTCGGGCAGAAGTCTGTTGGCGTTGTGGGCAGACACTGTCACTAGATAAAAAAATAGCTTTCGCCACCATTTCTTCAACCTGAAGTATAATTAGAAAAGGGATGGATGGTGGGGTGGGAGTGAAAGGTTACTTTTCATACAAGAGAAAAAAAGATGACTGTGAAGGAAAATGTTACACATGAAAATAACATCAAAACAATTGATCTATCTGAACAACACTACAAATGTCCGTCTGTAAGATTATTATTATCGGATATCTCTATAGAGTACGCTGTGGAATGAAAATAGGATCATATTATTGTCATCAATAGAATAGTGAGGCAAATGGTATTTCTCATATATTCACATTACATATATGTACCTGTGGTTCAGTAAATAGTACCCCACCATCTGGTCCATGAGGTCTACTCCTTTCATTATGCCACTGGTAGTCTGAGAGCATAGCCGTTACCTCCACTCTTTCGTTGCTCTGGGTGCCCTGAGCGTAGATTCAACGTTCCTTTCGCCTTAGGAGAGTGGAAGTTGGACAGCACCATGACGTTCTTGGTGTCCGTCCAGTTGCAAAAGCTGAGCTCGTTGTACAGGGCCACTCGGTACTCGTGTTTCGCCAACCTCACAGCCTTGGGCAGCAGAATAGTAGGGGCAGGCCTTTCCTGGTTAGCACAAACTCTACCAGCTGCCTGAATTCCTCTCATTTGCAGGCCCGTCATTAGGGTACACTTTGTGTAAAAATTGTCCATGTAGACAGAGAGACTTGTAGTGAAACAGTCCCGGCAGAGGATTAGGACTGTAGAACACATTTCATACAATTGTCAAAGAGGGTCAACCATGATGTTGAAGGAAACAAATATTGAAGATAACATAGACTATAAATTATTTCGTGCAGAATTCAAACTGGGCTGAAAGTAGTCAACTCTCAGTGTAGATTACAACAATATATAGTTTGTTAGGGGTATATCCATGATCCAGCTTTGACAACACGCGTTTCATGAGTGCAGTCGTTCACCCAAGTTGAAAATCCTGCTAATCTCGAAATACCTGTTCCAATCGGTTTCCAAGGGTTTTTCAGTCTAAAAAATGGATTTTTACCTACCATTAAAAATTGAACAGCCATAGGAGGTCTGTGGTGTTCTTCCCTTGTTGGTCTTGGCTTTTATCTTTGGAGCACCAGTGACAGGCCCCTTTCCGTCCGACGAGTCGATCCAGCTGATAATCCGATGACAAGGAGCTCCCCAGTCCTGCTGTTGACACCCCCTGGCTGACCTTCCTCTTGCCCTTGGAAACATTTCCTGCAACCAAAGCAGAGGAGATATCCAGTCTAAACTTCAGGTGACTGACACCTCTGGCGTTTGATGGATGGGGTTGTTTGGCGGCTCGGTACAGGTTCCAGGCATTCACTATTGACATCTGCACCACAAACCAGAGAAGGTTTCTCCACCACTTCACCCCAGATCTTCCCACTGCACAGTAGGAGCAAAGCTGGTCTGCCAGGTCAACGCCAAATATGTGGTTGTTGTAGTTCAACACGGAGTTCAGAATCTCACGTGTTGAACGCCACCTTTTACACGACGAGTGACGGTGGAGACATCTGGCGACGAATTTGTAGAGAGGACCGATACTTTCCGCTTGTCGTTGAATACTGTCGCCAGGAGACAACCTTTCCTCATGGTTTTGATCTCTCCTGGAGCCATCTTGTCCGTGTTTGCTTTATTTAGCTGCTGAGGCCAACCCTTCCGCAAGCCCCGGATGGTGCTGCAGCAGTAGGTGTTGTGGGCGAGGAGGTCCTCGGCGAGCTTTACACTGCTGAAATAGTTGTCACACACAAAATGATGCTATTTACCTAGATACTTTTAGCCCATATTCATAACCACGTGGTGACCAAGTCCATGGGGCATGGGGTTATTTATTTATATATATTGTAGACATCAATGTCCAGCATGTAGCCGTTTTGCGGGTCCGCAATGCTTCAGACCTTGATGCCCCTGGGAGTTGGCTTTGCTTTTATATACTGCTTGAAATGAAGCCTTCCATTGTAGGTGATCATTGTTTCATCAATGGAGAGACTTGTTCCCGGAGTGTTGTTATCAGCTGCTCTGAGGAGAAAAACACGCAGAGAAAATAAAGAACCTGCGTCAAAAGCATTTACCTGAGGAAAAGACTGTACGAAAAGTTCAGTGCATGTTTAGAATATAAATATATGAACATCAAATTATGTGCATCTTCTTTAGTCTTACAGATACCGCCTTGGTGTAAAATACAGGTCAAAACCGTGTTCTTTTCCTCCATGTTCTTTAAATGTTTCTCTTTCTTCTGTCGATTATTTTCCATTATTATTTCTTTTCTTCTATTTCTCACATCCAGTTCTTTGTCCTTACATCTCTGCTTCCAAGTTGAGGCATACTTCCGAGCCCTTTCGAGGAGCAACCTAACTTTTTCCAGAGTCTGTCTCTTCACCCACTGCATTGTTTTATTTCTTTTCAACATGTTAAGAGGAGGGACACCTGAACAACACATTTTTCATTGCTAATGGAGCAATAGTGCTCAAACTAATATGGTATGTTGTATAGAAGATGCAGATTAAAATCAGATGCATATTGGATTTTGTATACATTTTTCAATTCAATATAACTCCTGAACTACTTGTCCAAATGAGATGCCATTTTGTGTGGTTACAAAGAATTGGTATAGAAACAAAGTAACAACGCCATTTTTTGTAAAGAAAGTCTTTGAAAGAATAAAATACAGAGTGCATGAGGGTGACCTAATTTTTACCAAAATTTACCAAAAAGGACTTTTCAAAAGGCAATAATTTCAAATGATTTCATTTATCATTAAAAAGGAGATTGTAATTTTGTGTGGTATACATCTTTGCACACTCATGCCAAACTAGAGAACAATATCTCAAACGGTTCAGGAGTTATAATGATTTGAATGATGTTAATATTGTTAAAAACAAGAAACGGAGAAAAACAGCTACAACACCTCACCTACCTCTCTAAAACTGCCCTGCACCATATGTTACTCCTTCCTGCTGTTGTAACTCAAGCTGCCTGCGAGCTTTGGCAGCTCTCCTCATTGCCAGTCTGTGTTTCACAGCTTTATCCTGCTTTGCCGCTGAATTCTGTAGGTGCTTGATTTGTCGACGCAGCCCGAGACGATTGCTGTGGTGACCCTGGCCAACTCCTATGCACTCCTTCAACCGAACTGAAGCATCATGGCCAAAGTTAAACTCAGCAGTTGATAGAAGAACAGAAAATTGCACCTTTTTCAAAGAAGCGAACTTATGCTTTGGGCAGTTGCTCCAGATTTTAGAGTGGAGTGACTCATTTGCATTCTGAGTGGCACCGAGAAGGCAACGCTGAAGAATCTTGGGGTCAGAAAGGCGCTTGTACACCGGCTTTAGGTGTTTGCTATGGAGATTATAATTAAGAGGTGTGTGTACAAGTGTTTTGTGTGGGCCAGGTTCCTCATTTCGAGCAACAGCAGCATTGTAAAAGCACCAAGATCCAGTGCCAGCGGGGCAAAGGTGGTGCATTGGGCGGTTGTCTGTGGAAAAGCCGTGATACATCGAAGCAAGAATTCCTTTCCTGATGTCTTCCA